AGGTTCGCGTTGCCCAAGTCCTGCATTAGGAGAATCATCTGCCTCCCCCTCCACCTCTCTTCCCGACATTTTCTCCTCAAACTTGGGCAACACGTCGTTCTCCTACGAACCCATTCATTATACCAACACCGACGCCCTCAACCCCGACCCCAACACGAGCACGCTAACCGTTACCTCATCCGACTCACCCTACGACCCTTCCTCCGATATACCCAAACCTATTGTGTTGCAAAAGCTGCTCCCGTTGTTTTTCTCCCGTATGGGCAGTCATTTTCCGTTTATTACGGAAACCAGTTTATTGAGTAATATTGATCATGAGGATCCTGGAAGAAGGGTGACGGCTCCACTGATCATTAATGCCGTTTGTGCCTTGGGTGCAAGGTACGGTTCGTTTCTGTTGTCTTTCGTCCCTGTCCCTTTTTCCTTTTTTTTTTACTCTCGCTCTCATAAGTATTTGGTTGATGGGCTGAGTTCAACAAATTAGATTCTCGGACATCCCAATAATGCGATTTCAGGCACGAGATACTTCACAGACGCCTGCAACGTATGGAATCCCGTTTGCGGAAAAGATGAAGCAGTTATTGGTTCCGCTTTTGGGGTTTCCGACATCGAATACGGTTGCAGCACTTTTGTTTTTAGCATATTTCTCGTTTGGGTTGAATAATGAAGGTGAGCGTTGTTTTGGTTGTCTTTCTTTTGGTCGAGTCCCGGAAGTATTGATCAACTGTTGTAAACCTGTTAGGAGCGTTGTGGACGTATTCTGGCATGGCTCTTCGGTTCGTTTTGCTTTTCCGGAAGTGGTTGGAAATAGAGGTTTTTACTTACTTCACTTCTTTTTTTGTTTCTTGATATTGCTTCCAGAATGGCTGTGGACCTTGGGTTGCACCAGGTACAGTATTAGTGAATATTCACCCACACACTTGCTCTCTTGTTTACGTTCCGGATGTTGTACTTGCAGGATATAGCAAGCTCCTCTCCATCCTCCGGTGTTCCTCGGAACGACCTACAACGTGCCAGCGACCGACTTCTGTGGTGGTCGTGTTTTATTCTCGATCGGACATTGGCGTTTGGTACAGGTCGGCCTGTGACGGTGAAGGATAGAGAAATCAAAGTGGGTATTGATTCTCGGAGGCCCTTTCTTTGCTCTTTTTACCGGATCAGGGCTAAATGTTGAGTAGGCGTCATTACCAACGGAAGAAGAAATCCTGCTGGTTCAGTCGCCAATTGGCTTGAGCTCTGGTTCCGGCGGCGGGAGTGGTCCCGGTCCCCTGTCGCCCTCGCCGTTTCCGTATCATGTGAAGATGTTCCAATTGTATGGAGGACTGGCGGAGACGATAAATGTCGTGGAGCCTAGTTGGAAGCCTGAATTGGATCAACCTCCTTCGAGAGGTGAGAAACAGGAACTTGGCGAGTCCGAACCGTCGAGATTGGCAGGGGGTGCTAGTACGAGTCAAAGTCGGAGCGGGAGTGTACCTGTGGGTGCGGATGAGACGAATTTGGCAGAAGTCGAGGACATGATAACCCATGCGTATAATTCGTTGCCTGAGTTGATGGTTTTTAATGCTGACAAGTGAGTTTGCAATCTGAATTTTTACGTTGTCAGAGACTGACAAAGGCTTTCTCTCTTATCGCCTAGTCTTCGGATTCACGCAAAGAACTCTTCTAGCCCTACGTTCCTTGCCCTTCATTTATGGGTGAGTTTCTGTCCTTCCATCGGTGCGGTAGAGTAACTCACTAATGGCGTCTAGTATAATGCCATAGTAATAATACTTTACCGACCCCCGCTTATACATCCTCGAGTAAACGCATCACGGTCGAGCCTCCAAGACCGGTTAGCAGTCGTAAACAACTCATGTCTGGCGATTAGCAACATCCTCAATTCGGCCGACTTGGTGGACCCATTCGCATATTTGGCGTCTCCCTTTGTCAATCAATGCTTTTTTGTGGCTGCGAGTGCTTGGATTCAGGGTGAGAGTCTCCCCAGCCAGATTAAGTTCCGCGGAACAACGTGCTCATGGCGGCCACGTATCTTGGTTTGTAGATTATCGTATTCGGACGGGGAGAGACGTGTTGGCTTCGTCTTCTTCTTCCACTACTAACGGAACTTCAGAGGGCCCATACTCGCACGGAAGTACGAACAAACACGCTTCAACGCTACTTCCGTCCACCGGATCATCTACGACCTCTATTCTTTCACAAACTGCTCTAACAAATTTTAAACTCTGCAAAAAAGCTCTTTCGAGGCAAGCAAGTTATTGGATGGGTGTAGGGTGGATACGAGCTGTTGTTGAAAAGTACGCTAGTCATAAGAAACGGGTTGGATTGGTCAAAGCTACGGAGGGTGTAGATACGTTTGTTAGTCATCAGGAGATGGAGATTTTCCGGAGGTTGGGTAAAAGGACCACGGGGGAGAGTCCTCGGGAGGGGGAGGTCGTTGGGTTGGAAGGTTCGTGTTCTCGTTGTGCCGTTCTTTTTTCTTTACTTATTGTCTTTCTTTCCTGTCAGCGTTGACGGCGATGTTGGGACAAGGACAGGCTCCGTTAAGTGAGGATGATTGGGCGTTGGCGTATAGTTTTGCGTCGTTTACTGCATCTGGGGCTGGAAATGGGGCCGGAGGACATACGGATCCGTTTTTATAACCTTATTCTTTTAGAGGAGAGAAAATTTCGGTTGTTGATCATATCTCTATTGTCGCGTGCCAGTTGCTTTTTTCTTCTGGTTTCTATTTTACCCGTGTATATTTTTTTTGTTATCTTGCATTCTTCGATTCATTCATGGGTTGGTCAAAATTGGGACGTTTTCTTCTATACCTGTATAAGTAGAAGGATGTATTATGGGTTTTAGATAAAGCATGCGGCGGGAAACTTGTATATCACGTATGTCATGTGTTTGTCGCCCTGTAATGGGGAGGAAATCGGGTCGACGAGTTGAAAGTTGTCCATAATTAGACGTTCTCGCGACCAGTTGATACGCTATATAACTTCTGAGCACATACCTACCGCACCTCCAATGCGCTTCTTTCACCACACAGACCTAGACGCGTCTTTTTCCCCATCATCATCAAAAATGTTGATGTCCCATCGAGGTTTATAGACAAACGGAACGTTATACCTCATTCTTGACTGTCCAGGGGTATTCGGGATATCCGAGATCTTTTGGAGAGCGTCGGGTGGGAGGGTAATTTGTTGAAAGTTAGACTGTATAAGTAAATGGAAGAAATTGTAAGTGTGCAGTTTACCAAGCCGAAGACGTTTCTATGAATTTACCTCAATTCTCCCAGGAGTGACTGATTTGGGAATGACAGAATACCCTTGAGTAACTCCCCAAGCAATCAATACTTGAGCTGGTGTAGCTCCTACGAAGTTTGCGATTTCGATCACGGTCGGATGGTCGATGACTGGGGGACGACCGGTGATGTTTTGGCCGAGAGGGCTGTAGGCCGTGAGGTGAATACCCTTTTTGGAGCAGTAAGAGATGAGATCGGGTTGTTGGAGGAGTGGGTGGGCTTCAATTTGGTTTACGGAGCTGTGGGGTATGATGGAATCGTGATTAGCCGAGGGCTGATGAACCGGGAAGAGATGCTCACGGAATAACGTCAGAGGCGCTTTTGAGAATTTCTAAATGTTTGACGGAAAAATTGGAGACGCCAATGGCTTTGACTTTGCCTGTACCAAGCAAAGCGACCCATCGCCTTCCATGTCTCTGCAATCGAAGGTGCCTCTGTGTCAATGGTCACTTCTTTCTCTCCAGTCGAATCATCCCTAGCCCTAGTCGGGCTCAGCACCTTTCCAGGCTGGAACGGAACGGGCCAATGAATGAGGAAGAGATCCAAGTAGTCTGTCTCGAGTTCAGCCAAAGTGTTGTCGAGGTCTGCTTGGACCTGTGGGAGTTATTCCATAGCTTGGAAACGAGGAAGATTTCAGAGCGGGGGACACCTGAGGATTTGATTCCTTCTGCTACTTCTTTTTGGCTTCCATAGATGACAGCGGCGTCGATATGACGGTAACCGGATTTGAGAGCGTGTACAACGGCGCGTTGGACTTGGCCTGGTGCGGATTGCCATGTTCCGAGCCCGATTTGGGGCATTTTGACGCCATTGTTGAGAGTGATGGATTTGTTGAAGGACATGGTGATTGCGAGAAACAGATGGAGAATGAGACAGGTTACCCTTGGAAAATCGTCGGCCCACCAATATTTGTATGTTTCGGAAGATCGGAAATGTTGTTACCGCTCGGATGTTTAGTTATTGCCGGAGTTTGAAGGATGACCCTGGAGGACTATCCTTGACCTTCTCTCCCATCTGTAGCCGTAATCAGATGAAGAGACATTTCCGAAACTCGATTGCGATGTAATCTTTCGTTTCTGCCTCGAAGCACTCTTCTAGTCCGAGAAATTGTACGTGTCTGTAAAAACACGCAAAAAAAGGGTGCGTCGCCCGGTGAGAGGTCTTCAAAAAGACTTTTGATTTGCAAGTCCATCACTGTCAAGGCGTGCGTCGCGCACACTATTGCCGAGGAACATGCCAGTGGCTAGGCATCGCATCAGCTCGTGTTTCAGGGGATGTCACTGAACTTGAAGAATTACTGAATGCATTCAGCAGCAGCTAGTACTTGCTTGTGAGTAAGGCAATTGGGTAGCGGTGATCTTGTCTGGCATGCATGGGGAGTGTGTGTGCGGCACACCACCGAGTAAAAGGAAAGGCCTTAAAAACGAAAGCTGATGTCTATCCATTCTGTAAGAAAGTGAGTTTCATCCCATGGCGAAGAGAGTTGAAGACGAAGGAATCCCCAACCCAAGTCTGAAAATGGTTCTCGTTAAACACGTTTATCACGAAAAGTTCCATATATCGTCATATTATGGCAAACAGTCGGAGTGTAAGAAAAGGTGAGAGGTAGTCAGTCTACATACCTTGTAACCGAAATCCCAGTCTGTTTCTGGACTGAGAAAGAACAAAGGCTGGTGCCCGGAGAACCTACAGAGAAAAAAAAGGTAATGGATACTAGCAGCAACTTGTTTCGATCAAGTGACCTCGGGGTACCAAACTCTATCTGTATGGGCCCCGCGCGCTACCACTGCGCCATGCTGCTATGATATGACAGTGCCAAATTATTTTGATCAGATGTCGGCGGCTACATAAACTACTCAATCGCCGTTTAGTTCCTTTTCTCTTGCATCCACAACCTTGTTGAATCCTTTCGGACGATTGCTCCTCGCAAACCGTTAGATGGCGGATAATCACAGCATCAGACATCTTTTCCTCTAGTTTCTTCACTCTTCGCGAGGTCCGGGGGTGTGTATGTATCTGCTCACCCGGAAGTACGGAAAAACCGACAAAATAACCACCTCATCTTCCGGCCAGGAAACCAAGGATCGGGAAAATCATTCCTTTCATTCAGTTTCCCTTTATAAACGTGACCCTTTCGATGGCTTCTTCTCATCTCTCCACCACGCACCATGGCTATCCTACAACAAAGCGAGCGTGAACAACAAGAACAGCTGGTCCTGAGGACTATTCGATGTCTTGTTGCTGATGTTGTACAACAGTTCAAGGGTGGTCATCCTGGAACTGCTATGGGCGCAGCGTACGTCTTACAATGTTTGATTTTCTATGTTCTGGCAGTAGCTTATGCTTATTCGCAGTGCAATTTCTGTCTCTCTATGGCGCGATGTGATGAGATTCAACCCAAAAGATGGACTTTGGTTCAACCGTGATCGGTTTGTGCTGTGAGTTTGCTTGTTTCTAGTCGATAACACGCCTACGACTCAATACTAATGCTACTCTTATGACAGCTCAGCTGGTCATGCATGTCTCTTCCAATATATCGCCCTACATCTTGTTGGTTACGATGTTTGGACTTTAAACGAAATCAAGAGATACCATTCTCGTGATTTCCAGACGTCGCGTGCCGCTGGTCATCCAGAGATGGAACAAGAGGCGGGTATTGAAGTTACTACTGGGCCTTTGGTGAGTGTTAGCTATGATATCCTTGACCGATTCTGATCTCCACTCTTTCCTCCTAAGGGCCAAGGACTCGCCAACTCCGTCGGTTTAGCGATAGCCGGTAAACAGCTCGCAGCTAGGTATAACAAACCTGGTTTTGAAGGCGTGATTGACAACACTATATGGTGTTTTACGGGCGATGGATGTACACAGGAGGGCGTTGGGCAGGAAGGTGTGTATATCAACCTGTTGGTCGCGTTTCTGAGACTACAGTACTAACCGATTTACCACTTCTAGCTATATCAATGGCCGGTCACTTCGCACTTGACAATCTCGTCCTCATCTATGACGCCAACAAAGTCACAGTCGACGGGAGCATTGACGAATGCTACACCGAAGACATCCCTCTCCGATTTAAAGCAGCCAAATGGAACGTTCTTCATTACCCATCCGAATTTTCACCTGATGACATTTCGGCTGTTACTCAGATTCTTCTGAGGGCGAAGAAAGAGTCCAAGGAGAAACGGCAGCCTACTATTGTGATTATCCCTACGGTTATTGGCTTTGGATCGTTGAAGGAAGGACAGGCGCCTACACATGGAGCTGCGCTTGGACAGGACGACGTCGATCAGGTGAAGAGGAGGTTTGGGTTCCAGCCTGAGGAGAAGTTTGTCGTTTCTAAAGAGGTTTATGAACATTTCGAACATGTAACGACGCGGAATGCGAAGATTCAGGAAGAGTGGGAGGAACTTTTTGTGCGATATGGGAAAGAATATCCAGAGGAACACGCAGAGCTGGTAAGGAGGATCAAGGGTGAGCTACCAGCTGGGTGGGAGGAGTTGATTGCGAAAAAAGAAGAGTTGGACGTGAAGGGTGAACCTACGAGGAAAAGTTCCGGGAGGGTGGTTAAGAGGCTCGCTCCTGTACTTTCGGAAGTAATTGCTGGAAGTGCGGATTTGATGGAGAGTACGTTTGTTGGACCGTGGGATGATATGGAGATGTTCCAAAACGTACGTGCCTCTACTTTTCGTGTTCTGGCCGGTTCTCGAGACTACATTACTAACCTGGTTTCTTCTCAACAGCCCGAAACTAAACTGGGAACATACAATGGCCGACAAATACGCTATGGAATCCGCGAGTTTGGTATGGCAGCCGTTGCGAACGGTATGGCGGCGTATTTCCCCAAACCTGGAGGGTTCCTACCCGTTTATTCGTCGTTTTTTATGTTCATGTGTTACGCGCTTCCCGCGATTAGGATGGCTGCTTTGATGGGGTTGCGCACTGTGAGTTTCCTCTTCATGTTCATTGTTCTTTTTCTCAATCCGGTGGACCTTGCAGATAGCTATATCCACACATGACTCCATCGGAATTGGAGAAGACGGACCGACTCACCAACCTATCTCTTTACCTACGTTTTTTCGGTCCCTTCCTAATTCCCGTCTTTGGAGACCTGCAGATGCGGAAGAAGTCATGGCAGCCTGGACGGATGCGATGACTTGGACTGAGAGAACCTACCACATGGGACATCAAATCGAAAAAGCGGGCCCTACGCTGATATGTCTGTCACGACAAGCTGTACCGTTATTGAAAGGGAGCGACAGACAGAAGGCCAAGTCTCGAGGAGCGTATACGGTTTGGGGCGACGAGAGTCAGGATGTGAGACTTGTGTTGGTGGCTACGGGGAGTGAAGTTTCGAGGGCTGTTGAAGTTGCGGAACGACTTGAAGATGAGAATGTTGGTGGGCTGAAAGGACATATCAGGGTTGTTTCAGCGCCGTGTCTGGAGGTGTTTAATACCCAGGAGAAGGAGTATAGGATGTCTATGCTACCGAGTAAGACAACGTTGGTGGTGTCGATTGAAGCTTGGACAAGCTTTGGATGGGCGAGGTATGCACATGCAAGTTGTTCGATGACGACGTTTGGGCATTCCGGGCCTCAAGCGGATTTATATACGCATTTTGGGTTTGGAGTGAAGAATTTGGTTAAGGTTGTTGGTGGGTTTGTGAAGAGGTGGGAAGGGAGAGTTCCTGGTGTTGGAGAGTTTGAGGAGTTGTTGGGGGGATTTGTACCGGGTTCCACGGATGACTAAAAGGCACTCAACACCTTTCAATGGTCGTGTCCTTTGTATTTTTAAAATAATGTATCTGTTTTTCTTGAATCGCAAATGAAACTTTCATTTACACCGTGATACCTAGCTTTTCGGATAGTGTCCCGGGAGCGCTGACGGTAGAGGTAATCTTATCTTATCTTCACCTAACCCAGACGCTCTAATTACGTCATGACAATAATGTTGTATTTATTTGGCCGATATGGCTCGCTGTGGGCACTGACGCTTTTGACCATTTCCAACGTATCATACAGTTTCCACCAGGCCGAATATCCTCAGCCCAACAGCCTTATCCTGGATCTCGATGCTCATGTAAGGGTTGTCCCATTGCTTTCAAGCGTTCACCTCGCCCTTTACCTCTATCCATCTGTTTCGCGAAGCGCAGGCCTGCTGACGTTTAAGCCTTTGATAGAATCTTATGAACCGAGCTCTGCGGAGTCGTGACAACGAAAAGTCCATCTGTCGAATGGTGGTCAGAGGATAGTTGAAGGACAGGAACCCGAATGCTTTACAACTCTCCTAGCCTGAGCACCTCGTTCTTCTACGGCACATTCTTCCGTGGGGCAAAGTGGCTTAATCAATCTCGCACTCTTCTCGCCGACTTCAACCTCCATATGCTTTTCAAAAGGCGCTATCTTGTATTCAAGGATTGCACCTGCCAGCGTGTCAGATCATCTCTTTGGTATTCTTAAGAACTATGCACGTCCAACCGCTCGTCACAGCACACCAACGGAGATCCTGGAATCCTACTATAGCTTCTATAACTCCCGAGATACTGCATGGTTCCCCCAAACAGTATAGGGAAGGTTGGGAGTTCTCCTTTTTGTTCGATGACTCGTTTGACTGACGTTGTGCACGACCATCTGCCGCCCGTGGCTTCGCATGATTCTGATTACCTGGATGGTTTTCTATTCTCTACAGCAATGGGGCCCCGTCGAGTCCCGTAGCACCCTACAGCTGGCTGAGAGTTACCTTGGTCCATGATATGTGACGTTTTGCGATCAGCGACGACAAGCTCAAAGCCTGCCCAAGGAATCGTGTGTTGTGATCCCTGGGAGACTAGCTGGTAGCGAATTATTGAGTTATTTGTTGAAGGTGTGCTTCGGCCCAGTCGGGACCAGCGTATATGTAAGACTGACTTAGTCATGTTACTGCGTACAGACTCAAATTCCGTCTTTTCTCTTCATCGTGGTCTCGAGCCCGCCCTAAGGTCGTTCTCGTCTCTGTGAGACTTGTCTCTTGTCTCCTCCGATACCCGCTCGCAATGTTGTCCAGAGGTCTTCATGGTTCCATTCGAACTTCCATGCTTCTCAGGGCCCCGTCCATCATATGTAGTCAAGGAGTTGAGAGTACCATACCTAGTTTCCAAGCATTCACTAACCAAGTACAGTCTCTGTATACCGTCAGAGAACTCCAATTTATACTTGGGCTGTGATTGAGCGAATTAGTAGGTATGTTTTCGGGGCGAAAGCGAAAGGACCCACTCCGGCGTAGGACTCAATGTAGCTCACATATTCCAACGAGGTTCGAACTTCTTACACGATAACGTTTCTACTCCGGTACGATTCAGTGTAGGGTAACGCTTCAAAGTAAAATTTTGGCTAGAGCTGACGCCCATGCCCTGGTTGCCGGAGACAGGCTGGTGAAAGGTTCAAGTTAGAGTCATATTAGGGGGTACCCTAACCTAGACACCTACCGCTGTGGTATCCTTAATCCAACCATACATGTCGAAATAGGTCAACAAACTCGTATAGGAACGAGTGAAGATGAGAATGGTCGACTTTGGAAAGCCATCTTCTATAGCTATAGACAAGATTCCGGCCAGCGCTATAGATACAAAGCCATGAGGCTGGAAGTTGCGTTCGACTGACTCGTGAAGTTCATCAGTTGAGTGATAGTCAGCGCTCCCTGGTCAAGCTGAAGCACGCTGCTGTGAACCATCGCGGCCGCTGACTCAGGCTGGTTGAACGAGTTACTTCTTATTTATGGAAACGCCGATCACTGATGAATATTTCTGACATCAGGCTAAATGGTAGCTTG